CGGCCCCCGCGCCGGTTCCCCCGCCCCACTCTGCCTCGCCTGCCGGTACCTGATGATGGTGAGCAGCTCCTGCTGCACGGCAAAGATGGGCAGGTACTGCCTCTGCTCCACGATCGACTTCTTCTTGGCGAACTCGCTGCTGGCCTCGCTCTTCTCCTTCATGTGCTCCGCAAACTTCTGCTCCGTCCTGGGGACACAGCAGCCTGAGCAACGCCATGGCCCCCCGGCCCCGGGCACAGCGCCCCCAAGCAGCCTCCTACCTGTAATCCACCTTCCCGTCGGCCGTCAGCGTCTGCTCCGGCTCCTCCTCTTTCTTGATGCCCATGATGTCGCCCAGCTTGGTGCCAGCCAGCTCCCAGTGCTTGTGCTGAGCCTGAAAGGCAGCCAGCAAGTGCCAGCTCAGCAGCGGCAGTCAGCCAGCCCCCTGCAGCCCCAGCCCAGAGGGGACCTCCCCCCGACTCCTACGGGGAGCCATAGCCCAGCGCTTAGGCCGGGGCTGGAGAACCACCACCTCTCTCAGCAAGTTGTTCCTGCGGTTCCCTCGTCTCCCTGGGCAAACGCTGATGCCTTATTTCCAGCCTGAACTGTAGCTCCTCGTCTCCCAGCCTCTGGATCTTAACAAACCCTAACTAGCTGCCTCGTGCACAGAGGGACAAGGGGACCCTCCCGAATTCTCTCTCGAGGCCCAGAAAGTCAACCACGAGAAGGCTGCTCCTTACAAAACCACCTAGCGCAGCGGGTGCGTCAGTCACCCTGCACCCCCAGCGGCAGCCAGGCGGGACCGCGGCAAGCAGAACAGAAGGGCTATTCACTCCTGAGCAGGCGCGCCCGCGTTCTCCCTCAGGACGTCCAGCGGGGAAGAACCGCAGCCCTGAGCAGGCGCGCCCGCGTTCTCCCTCAGGACGTCCAGCGGGGAAGAACCGCAGCCCTGAGCAGGCGCGCCCGCGTTCTCCCTCAGGACGTCCAGCGGGGAAGAACCGCAGCCCTGAGCAGGCGCGCCCGCGTTCTCCCTCAGGACGTCCAGCGGGGAAGAACCGCAGCCCTGAGCAGGCGCGCCCGCGTTCTCCCTCAGGACGTCCAGCGGGGAAGAACCGCAGCCCTGAGCAGGCGCGCCCGCGTTCTCCCTCAGGACGTCCAGCGGGGAAGAACCGCAGCCCTGAGCAGGCGCGCCCGCGTTCTCCCTCAGGACGTCCAGCGGGGAAGAACCGCAGCCCTGAGCAGGCGCGCCCGCGTTCTCCCTCAGGACGTCCAGCGGGGAAGAACCGCAGCCCTGAGCAGGCGCGCCCGCGTTCTCCCTCAGGACGTCCAGCGGGGAAGAACCGCAGCCCTGAGCAGGCGCGCCCGCGTTCTCCCTCAGGACGTCCAGCGGGGAAGAACCGCAGCCCTGAGCAGGCGCGCCCGCGTTCTCCCTCAGGACGTCCAGCGGGGAAGAACCGCAGCCCTGAGCAGGCGCGCCCGCGTTCTCCCTCAGGACGTCCAGCGGGGAAGAACCGCAGCCCTGAGCAGGCGCGCCCGCGTTCTCCCTCAGGACGTCCAGCGGGGAAGAACCGCAGCCCTGAGCAGGCGCGCCCGCGTTCTCCCTCAGGACGTCCAGCGGGGAAGAACCGCAGCCCTGAGCAGGCGCGCCCGCGTTCTCCCTCAGGACGTCCAGCGGGGAAGAACCGCAGCCCTGAGCAGGCGCGCCCGCGTTCTCCCTCAGGACGTCCAGCGGGGAAGAACCGCAGCCCTGAGCAGGCGCGCCCGCGTTCTCCCTCAGGACGTCCAGCGGGGAAGAACCGCAGCCCTGAGCAGGCGCGCCCGCGTTCTCCCTCAGGACGTCCAGCGGGGAAGAACCGCAGCCCTGAGCAGGCGCGCCCGCGTTCTCCCTCAGGACGTCCAGCGGGGAAGAACCGCAGCCCTGAGCAGGCGCGCCCGCGTTCTCCCTCAGGACGTCCAGCGGGGAAGAACCGCAGCCCTGAGCAGGCGCGCCCGCGTTCTCCCTCAGGACGTCCAGCGGGGAAGAACCGCAGCCCTGAGCAGGCGCGCCCGCGTTCTCCCTCAGGACGTCCAGCGGGGAAGAACCGCAGCCCTGAGCAGGCGCGCCCGCGTTCTCCCTCAGGACGTCCAGCGGGGAAGAACCGCAGCCCTGAGCAGGCGCGCCCGCGTTCTCCCTCAGGACGTCCAGCGGGGAAGAACCGCAGCCCTGAGCAGGCGCGCCCGCGTTCTCCCTCAGGACGTCCAGCGGGGAAGAACCGCAGCCCTGAGCAGGCGCGCCCGCGTTCTCCCTCAGGACGTCCAGCGGGGAAGAACCGCAGCCCTGAGCAGGCGCGCCCGCGTTCTCCCTCAGGACGTCCAGCGGGGAAGAACCGCAGCCCTGAGCAGGCGCGCCCGCGTTCTCCCTCAGGACGTCCAGCGGGGAAGAACCGCAGCCCTGAGCAGGCGCGCCCGCGTTCTCCCTCAGGACGTCCAGCGGGGAAGAACCGCAGCCCTGAGCAGGCGCGCCCGCGTTCTCCCTCAGGACGTCCAGCGGGGAAGAACCGCAGCCCTGAGCAGGCGCGCCCGCGTTCTCCCTCAGGACGTCCAGCGGGGAAGAACCGCAGCCCTGAGCAGGCGCGCCCGCGTTCTCCCTCAGGACGTCCAGCGGGGAAGAACCGCAGCCCTGAGCAGGCGCGCCCGCGTTCTCCCTCAGGACGTCCAGCGGGGAAGAACCGCAGCCCTGAGCAGGCGCGCCCGCGTTCTCCCTCAGGACGTCCAGCGGGGAAGAACCGCAGCCCTGAGCAGGCGCGCCCGCGTTCTCCCTCAGGACGTCCAGCGGGGAAGAACCGCAGCCCTCAGCAGGCGGATGAAAAGCGCTACGCTCAGGAAGGGACAGTCAGCAGCGCGCACAATGGGAAGCGCCTGTCCAGGCAGGACCACAAACTAAACACGAGTCCCGAAGGACAACGACCGTTCTTGGCCCTCTGGAAGGCGCCCGGCTGGGCCCCCCCGCCCCGACCCCG